AATAGCATTTGCGTTTTTTACAGCTGTATCACACTGATGGCTCATATTCAGCTCGTGGTCTACAATAATTCCAAGATCCCTCTTGCATTACTGAGCCAATATTGTAATCATACATTTTGTTTCTTTTTTTAGGTGTAGACCTTTATTATCCCTGCTAAATTTTATTTTGTCATTTTCAACCCACTGCTCAAGCCTGTCAGGATCTTTTTGAATTTTGTTCCTTTCTTCCAAGGTATTAGCTATTCCACCCAATTCCATGTCATACACACATTTATTAATCATTCCCTACATGAACTCCCATATTAATGACTCGTCCACGTTATTAATAAAAATGTTGAATAGCACCGGACCCAGGCCTGACCCTTGAGATACCCCACTTATAGCCCTCATGTACTTCTTGCAAGCAGGCTTAGAATTGTGTTGTAGTAGATGAACTTTAACAGAATACCTCACGAATATTTCTTAATACATGCTCCCCACCTTAGAGTTCAAATTGTTCTAAACAATCTTGCTAGACGTAATATATTGAGTTAGGGCTGATGATGCCCTTAACTATGTTGAGGTGGTGGCATCAGGCCGTAAATGCAGGGGCAGCAAAACTGGAGCTGCTTCCTCACACCTCTACAGCTTACGTCACTTCTTGGCTGAGACAAGGAAGAAGAAAAGGCAGGCCACCAGAGGCACACTCTCCTGATGCCATTGAAGAAGAAGAGGAAGAGGAAGAAGAGGAAGAGGAAGAAGAAGAAGAAGAAGAAGAAGAAGAAGAAGAAGAAGCAGCAGCAGCAGCAGCAGCAGCAGCAGCAGCAGCCTCTATTGTACCAGAATAGCCCTAGCCACTCCATGGTGTCAAAGGAACAATGAATAAAAGAAATAAGTAAAAATAAAAATATCTGTGATATCCAAAACCTGGCTTACCTATGGAGCCACAGCAGAGTACAAAGGGCCCTTCTGAGTAATTGCTCTTTCCACATCTCTTCAGCAGTGTCCCAAGTGCACTTGTTGCCACTGTCTTTCTCACCACTGCTGTCATCTGTCTCCTCTTAGTGAGTGTTTCCAGTCATTTTGGGAGATGGCGGGTGGCCATCCCTTCTCTTCTCACTTCAGGAGATGGGAGTGCTTGTGCTACAACTGCCTCAGGTTGGGATATCATAATAAGCCAGATTTTTAAAATACTCTTCTGGTGTACTATAAGCAACCAAGCATGTCGATTAGTGTGTTAGTGCACATTGTTCAGTCACTGGTCATGTGGCTCTTCCTGCCTAGACAAGTCGGGGATGATCTATGCTTGGTCTCTTCAACATGAGATCCAAACTGGAACCTCCATTCTTCCAATTAAGCAGACTCGTAAGCCAAGAAACAGCCCTGACCTATGACTCTGATCAAGGTTCCCTCCAAAGTGCATGGGCTGCATGAGTACAAAGTGCGGCACCTCCTCCTCTATGCACCCACAACAGGTATTTCCAGCCCCTCTGGTTCCAGTCAAGGCAGAAGCCCATGTAGGGGGCGCAGTTCCACCCAGCAGGGCTGAAAATTAGAGGGAATGTGGACTCTGGCCCATTAGAAGAGGAGCCATTTTGAATTCCTGGTTTGAGCATCTTTCTAAATCAGGAGGTGTGTAACCTGTAGCTTCCAGATATTGCTGGATTACAACTCCCAGCTCTTCTTGCCATTGACTATCTTGGCTAAAGCTGATGGGAGTTACACTCCACCAACTTCTGTAGGACCACATTTTTGTTTGCAAAACAAAACTAGATGGAGATTCTGTGCCTTGTTAAACCACTTCTGGAGAATACAAGTGGGAGTGATTGTGCCACACACACACCAGTACACATGCCTCCTTGATTAAAACAAAGTCTAGGGTTACCATGCTGTGAGACCTGGGCCATTCTCTTCCTACACTGAGCAGTATAATAGCCTGTTCTTACAACTACTCTGAGCATGACAAACAGGTAGGTAGTCTAAATAATTCACAAAGAGCATAAATTGCTGTTTGGAATGCTACTGCACAGCTTGAAAAGAACAGTTTCAGCACTTATCTCCTGTTTGTCGAGGTCAATTGGGGCTTCAGAAAATGAAACAGCCAACAGTAAATGGAGTGGCCATATAAAGCAGCTATAACCTGCTAACCTTTAGCTTCACAGAATATAAAATGACATCCAAAAAGTATCTATCATGCAAAAAAACAAAGTAAAACAAAACAAACCCCAAAACAAAACACAATGACATCTGACACTACATTATTTGGCTTATGCATTTTAAGAAAACCCCAACAATTTTTCATATGTACTAACTGACCTCAATCTTGTTCAGTTTCCCCTTATATTTATTTTACCTTGAGACCAGTGAAGTGAAAAGTTCCACAAAGTAATGACTTCTGTAGATGGCAATCAAGGCAGACTCATAGAAGCCAATTCCCCCCCCACTCATGACATTTGCGCATTCCACTCTGACTCAAAGAGAAAACATGAAACTGCTTGCTTCATCTGTAATTAAACAAGTGGTGCTTATCTCTTCTCAGATAAACAGCTGGGATACAATGCAGGTTTTCACAGGACGGATACTTCAGTGTATTTTGAACTGTTCTGACTAAATGCTATGAATATGATTCATTGGGGAGTTATTTTGCACAGCATCCCTTAATTTCTATTGAACATAACGCATCGTGACAAAAAATTCACTCTGTCTGGGCAATGTAATCCCTTGCCCCAGGAAAATTAATATGCTAGAGGTTTTGTCACTGAAGACCAACATCAAGATAATCAATAATATGATATTCCAAATTACTGTGTAAGGATGTGAAAGCTGAATGATTAAAAAAAAAAGACAATGGTGGAGGTTTAATTCAAAACATGGTGTTGGAGAACAGTTCTATGGCACCTAGAGACCACCAGGAAAACAAATAATTGGCTGCTAGATCAAATCAAGTTTCATCTCTCTGGAGAAGTGAAAATGAGTAGCCTGATCTACAAGACTTGATTCATAGTGTCAGAATGATGGAAACCTTACCATTTCCACCTAGTAACAGAAGGTGATTGGCTGGAAGAATGCAGGTGGTGAGCCAATCACGAAGAGCCTGCAGGAGGTAGAGTGAAGAACAGATGAAAAGAATGAGTGAGAGTTAAACTGTATTTTTAGGAAGGAGGTTGTATTTTTTTAAGAGTGGGCTGGAACTTGAAAGAATTACTTTGTATCTGGGAAAAAGGAGGTTGGATGTTTGAGAGCTAGCATGTAGCTCAGTGTAAACCTAAGCTGTACTCTGTTTAGTTTCACCAGCTATTACGTTATAATAAAGATCATCTTACATGTTTCATTATCAAAACCGCTTGGGATCATGCATTTTGGGCTAAAGGAAAGCCTATTAAAAATACGGGCAGTTTAAATGTGATTAGCCTGGGTGAAGGTTGGTTACAGTCAGCATCACTTGAAAGCAATTTTGACTGCACATAACTGCAACACTGATCTTAAGTAAGTTGCATAGCTGGCCATAAAAAGGGGAGAGAAAAAACCGCTCACTGCCCACTCTAGTGGCTGGTTGGGCTTATGGATACTCTAGCCCAGGCTTGTCCAACCTTGGCCCTCCAGATGTTCTTGGACTTCAACTCCCAGAAATCCTGGCCATCAGAGGTGGTGCTGGCCAGTAGAGGTGGTGCTGAAGGCATCTCGGAGTTGAAGTCCAAGAACATCTGGAGGGCCAAGGTTGGACAAGCCAGCTCTAGCCAAAAGCTTCCAAACAATTTTCAGCCGAGGACAGTTCTTCTGCAGTAATACTGATGCTATTTGCTAGCATTGGAATTTAGTATTTCATGACTTCTTTTTAAAGGAAAATGTAAAGCAATATTTTAAGCAGCTCCCCTCATTTTATCAGTGTTGCAAACGAAGCAAGTTGCACCCACACTTGCACAAGTGACTAAGTACCTCTGGCAGATGCTTCCCTGGTTGGTTTCCTTTTTTGTATTGTGTACTCTGCGGCTACTTTATCAATGGGCTGTTGATCGTATCTTTGGGTTTCACTCCACTTCTTCCCACGCTCTCTCGCTGCCTCATGCAGCCAATGATAGTAGTCTTCATCTTTTTCTCCTTGTAAGGTGTTTCTGATTAAAAAACCTTCTCCTCACTACAGCTGAGAGTGAAGAAAACCAATTTCCAAACAAACGAATCATTTCTGAAGTCCCAATTGACCCCGACAAACTAAGGGGGCGGGAGAGAGAACCAACACCTCCTCATTGTGTTACAGACACAACTTCGGTATTGTTCAACTAAAAAGCTATCATAGATGCTCTTTTCACGTGTTACTCTGACTCTTGTTACCTTGCCCTCCGTATCCCGTTCTGATTAATTTCAACGACTGCTTTGAAAGAAGTGGCCACGCGGGTCAGCTTCGGTGCGTGGAACAAAAACGAACGCAACATTAATGTGCCGCTTTTAAGCCTCGCAGCTATATTTCAGGGTGAGCATTCGTGGACTACTGTGCACTCCAGTTCTTTAGGCACGGACACGAGTCTGTCTAGGCGGGGAACCGGACTGTAATGCATGAAAGCACATCTTAACAGAAAATGTTAGTATTTAAGGTGTCACAGCCGAGTATTTGCAAGCGCAACAGTTCTCCTTTCCTGCTACCGTGTAATAAACTCGCCGCTTTCCCCAGACTTCTGCTCCGGTGGGGGAGAAAGCGGACGGTTCTTCCTCCTTCGCGTCAGCGCTACTTTTGCGCATGTGCGCCAACTTTTTAAAGTGCACAAAACTGGTCTTCCCCCCTGTTTCATTTTCCCAGGGAGCGTGCATTCCAGGGAGCATGCGCTCATCTTGCCTTTTAAACTCTTTTGAAAAGGCTCCGGGGGCGGGGCGGGAGCTCTTCGGTGACGCAATCGCCCATAGGCTGTTCCTCCGCGGAGCGCGCGTCGGGCTGTGACTGGCTGGGAGTTCCGTCCGTGTGGGGGAGGGACGCGCT